AGGGATGTCTGATTGCCATCTTAGGCCCAATACCCTGGGGAGCGGGCCTAAGCCAGCAGGTGGTCATCCCCTGAGGGGTCCCAGACTGCAAGAGGGCACAGGCCGGGCTGAGGGACCCCCCCTTCCCCCCCGAGTGCACAAATTTTTGTGCACCGGGCCTCTAGTGTGTGTGTGTGTGTGTGTGTATATATATATATTTATTTATTTATTTATTTATTTTTCCCTAAAACTTGCTTTTCTCATTTAACAATAAGACTTAGAAGATTTGCATATGTAGTATGGATGTACCTTGGTTTATTTAAATGTTTACTACTAATAAACCTATAGGTTATTTCTGATTTTCTATTGTGAGAAACAATGAATGTAATGAAATCTCCCCAATTACATCTTTGTGTACACATCCAAGTACTTCTCAGGAGTAGATATCCAGAAGCTAAGCCACTAAATCAAGAGTAGATTCATTTTAACTTTTTTAAAAAATTATATCTTTATTGTTCAGATTATTACAGTTGTTCCTCTTTTTTCCCCCCATAGCTCCCCTCCACCCGGTTCCCACCCCACCCTCTGCCCTAACCCCCGCCACCCACTGTTCTCATCCATAGGTGTACAATTTTTGTCCAGTCTCTTCCCACACCCCCATCCCCCTTTCCCCCCCGAGAATAGTCAGTCCACTCCCTTTCTATGCCCCTGATTCTAGTATATTCACCGGTTTATTCTGTTCATCAGATTATTTATTCACTTGATTTTTAGATTCACTTGTTGATAGATGTATATTTGTTGTTCATAATTTGTATCTTTACCTTTTTCTTCTTCTTCCTCTTCTTAAAGGATACCTTTCAGCATTTCATATAATACTGGTTTGGTGGTGATGAACTCCTTTAGCTTTTTCTTATCTGTGAAGCTCTTTATCTGACCTTCAATTCTGAATGATAGCTTTGCTGGGTAAAGTAATCTAGGTTGTAGGTTCTTGCTATTCATCACTTTGAATATTGCTTGCCACTCCCTTCTGGCCTGCATAGTTTCTATTGAGAAGTCAGCTGACAATCGTATGGTGGGTACTCCCTTGTAGGTAACTGACTTTTTTTCTCTTGCTGCTTTTAAGATTCTCTGTCTTTTGCTCTTGGCATTTTAATTATGATGTGTCTTGGCGTGGTTGTCTTTGGATTCCTTTTGTTTGGGGTTCTCTGCGCTTCCTGGACTTGTAAGTCTATTTCTTTCACCAGGTAGGGGAAGTTTTCTGTCATTATTTCTTCAAATAGGTTTTCAATATCTTGCTCTCTCTCTTCTTCTGGCATCCCCATAATTCAGATGTTGGTACGCTTGAAGCTGTCCCAGAGGCTCCTTACACTATCTTTGTATTTTTGGATTCTTTTTTCTTTTTGTTTTTCCAGTTGGGTGATTTTTGCTTCTTCGTATTTCAAATCTTTGACTTGATTCTTGCGATCCTCTAGTCTGCTGTTGGAATTCTGCATAATATCCTTTATTTCAGTCAGTGTATGCTTAATTTCTAGATGGTCCTTTTTCATAACCTTGAGGGTCTCACTAGATTTCTTGAGGGTCTCACTACATTTATCGGTGGTCTCACTAGATTTCTTGAGGGTCTCACTAAATTTATTGGCGGTTTCTAGAAAATTCCTGAAAAACCTTAAAAGTGTGGTTTTGAACTCTATATCCAGTAGTTTGCTTTCCTCCATTTCTGTCATTTGTGACTTCTTTGTCTCCGCATTTTTTATGCTTCCCTGTGTTGATAGAGTGGCTTTCTGTGTTAGGTGTCCTATAGGGCCCAGTGGCTCAGCCTCCCCAGTTACCTGAGGTAGACACTCTTGGTGCACCCCTTTGTGGGCTTTGTGCACAGTTTTGTTGTAGTTAAGTCTTGATTGTTGTAGGTATTACTGGGAGGAATTGACCTCCAGGCCAACTGACTGTGAGAATCAGCTGTGTCTGCAGTGGGAGAACTTCTGAGCTGGAGACACCCTTCTGGGGCAAGACTTACTTCAGTGGGGCTTTGGTGCTCACTGAGTCTGCCCCCTGAGTGTGTCCCTTATGGATCTGAGGAGTTGTAATCTGGATGGTCCCACTCTGACCACTGGGTACACTGGCTCTTGGATCTCTAAGGAGGAGCTAATTTAGCCTCTGCCTGAGGCTACCCAGCAGGAACTATGGAGAGATTCCTCTTCTTTGTTTGGGGTTTGGAGGTGACCAGATGAGGCCCAGCTGTGAAGCAATGCAAGCTGCTGTGGGGCCTTGGACCTTCTTTTGGAAGTTCTGGGTCTCTCTGATTCAGCTGCAGTTTGTTAGGTAATTTTCAGGTTGTAAAGGGCCAGGCCTTTCATATGCAAAAGCCTCTGTGCACAGCTTGGGTGGGGCGGGGTCTCAGGGGATCAACAGGGCGGAGCAAGCAGCTATGGCTGCTCCCCAGTCCTACCCTAAGAGGCCCCGCATCTCAATGTCCCGGTAATTGCTGCAAGCACCTCTGAGAGAAAGCCGCCCTCGAGTTCTGCCCGATGCCAGACAGTCCCGTTTCTCCCCGTATGAGTCTGGGTCCCCAGAGACTCACCCGGAATTGGAGTTCAGAGCAGTCGGGAGCTTAAGACTCACTCCTGATTGAAAAAGACAACCGCGTCCTCAGCCACCAGCCCTTTCCACGTGCGCCACGTCCTAAGTTGCCAGCCCTTTCGGCGTGCACCTCCTACCTCTGCACTCTACTTCCGCACCTCCTCTGAGTCTCAATGCTTTTCTCTTTCCTTCTAGTTGTAGAATTTCCACTCAGCAGCCTTCCTGTGGTTCTGGATGATGTCTGTTTTGTCTTTTAGTTGTATTTTTGAAGTGATTGTGCGAGGCAGCAATTTCCGGTGTTTACCTATGCCGCCATCTTGGTTTCTTCTCATTTTTACTTTTAAAGGGTACTGCTGGCCCTAGCGGGGGTGGGGGGCATGCCTCAGTCAGTTGGAGCATCATCCCATACACCAAAAGGTTGTGGGCTCGATTTCCGGTCAGGGCACATAACTAATTTGCTTGTTCATTCCCCAGTTGGGTGCATATAGGAGGCAACTGATCAATGTTTCTCCCTCATATCGATGTTTCTCTCTCTCTCTCTCTCTCTCTCTCTCTCTCTCTCTCTCTCTCTCTCTCTTAAAACATATCCTCAGGTGAGGATTAGAAAATAATAAAAGGCTTTCTAAAAAGGCATACCGAGCCCAGCCCACATGGCTTAGTGGTTGAGTGTTGACTTATGAACCAGGAGGTCATGATTCGATTTCCGGTCAGGGCACATGCCCAGATTGTGGGCTCCATCCCTGGTGAGGGGTGTGTAGGAGGCAGCCTATCAATGATTTCACTCATTACTGATGTTTTTATTTCTCCCCCTTCCTCTCTGAAATCAATAAAAATATATTTAAAACATAATAATTAAAAAAGGCATATTGACAAAAACTCCCTCCAACAATTTATAACAATAACCATTTCCCACATCTTTCCCAACACTTAAGTTTTTCAATCTTTTTAATATTTGTAAATCTTTGGAAATAAAAAAGTGTTTCTCTTTTCAAGCTGCACTTTCCTAACACTAGTTGAGTAGAACAAACACCTTTTCAAATGTTTCTTGGTCAGCCACTCTATCGCCTCTGTTAATAGGGTATTCATATCTTTTGTCCATTTTTCTTTTGGGTTGATTTGTAGGAGTTCATATATTCTGAGTAAAAGTTATTTGTTTAATATATATGTTGGAAATTACTTTCTCCTAGTCTGTTGCCTATCTTTTAACTTTGGTCATACAGAATTAAAATAAAAATCAATATAGTCAAAATTATATTTACTTTATGTTTTCCTTGATTGCTTCATTGGTTTTGGTATTCTTAAAGGCTTTTCTACCTCTAAACATCATTTTCAATGCTGCATAATATTCCACTGTATGAATATACTATAATTTATGAAATTCTGTCACTATTAGAAATTTAAGTTGTTCCATCCTTTCATTAATATAAAGAATGCTGTGAAAAATAAGTGTTCAACTTGATATTTCTAACATATACCTTAGTGCCTACAAAAATGAGCATAATAAATGCTTCTTGGATGGTGAAGGGGAAAAAGTAAAAAGTCACATTCAAGATATGTTAAAAAAAAATGCAGCTCAGCCCTACCCGGTTTGGCTCAGTGGATAGAGCATCCACCTGCTCATGGGTCCCAGGTTCAATTCTGGTCAAGGGCACATGCCCGGATTGTGGGCTCAATCCCCAGTAGGGGGCGTGCAGGAGGCAGCCGATTAATGATTCTCTCTCATCATTGATGTTTCTATCTCTTTCTCTCTCTTCCTCTCTGAAATCAATAAAAATATATATTTTTTTAAAATGCAGCTCAGCCCTGGCTAGTGTGATTCAGTTGGTTGATCATCGTCCTGTGCACTGAAAGGTCACTGGTTCACTTCTCGGTCCGGGTGCATACTGGAGGCAATCGATGTTTCTCTCTCTCTCCCTCTCCCTTCCTAAAATCAATAAAAACATATTTTTTAAAAATGCAGCCCAATGTCAACTAAATTATTGGGGAATTAGTCCTATCAGTCTACTTTTCCTTTAGCCCATCTAATCAAGAATTGACTTTGCTTCTAAAATCTAGGCATGGAAGTAAAGCTTCACTTTCCCCCTAAGACTGCCCTTCCAGAGGGTGGGACAACTACTTGAGAAAGGTCTTTAAACACATACCTGAGTCCTCCTTCTTATCCTGACTTCAGTTTTAGGGTTCTACTTTGGTTGGTGAATCTTCAGGGTTTAGTTCTTAGAAGGTGGTGAATGGTGCTGAGGAGATGAGGTGGAAGGAAGAGAAGCATCATATCCATCAGGCTGGGCTGCCTCAGGATTGTGAGAGCCAGCTCTATTTCCAGCAGGTGGAGCTTCATATCCCTGAGGTGGAGCTTCATATCCCTGAGGTGGAGCTTCATATCCCTGAGGTGGAGCTTCATATCCCGGAGGTGGAGCTTCGTATCCCGGAGGTGGAGCTTCATATCCCTGAGGTGGAGCTTCATATCCCGGAGGTGGAGCTTCATATCCCGGAGGTGGAGCTTCGTATCCCGGAGGTGGGGGTCCGTATCCCGGAGGTGGGGGTCCGTATCCCGGAGGTGGGGGTCCATATCCTGCTGGTGGGGGTCCGTATCCCGGAGGTGGGGGTCCGTATCCCGCTGGTGGGGGTCCGTATCCCGGAGGTGGGGGTCCGTATCCTGGAGGTGGGGGTCCATATCCCGCTGGTGGGGGTCCGTATCCCGCTGGTGGGGGTGCATATCCCGCTGGTGGGACTCTGTATGCTTCTGGTGGGGCTCCATATCTCACAGGTTGGGGCCCATGGACAATAACTGGGTAAATTGAGAAGAAAAGAAAAAATTAGTTACTTATTTCTTAGAGTGGACAAGGAATAAGTGAGAAGGAGGAAGAAGAAAAAAATTATGCTGAAGCAAACTAACACAGGAAGAGAATCAGGCAGAATAATGGTAAAACCAGATCCTTCAGCTACCACCAGTTGAAAACTTTATCATTTCCTGTTGTGGAGGGATTAAAATAAGCATGAAAATAACCCTACAGTTAATCTCTGCATTAATTATAGCTGTATATAGAGAGATACATGTTTTACTTAATAAAGTTTGTTTTGATTATAAAAAAGTAATACATGCTTAATGAGGAATATGTATTTGGAAAATAGGAAAAAGATGAATTTTTAAAAGTCATCTATAATGTAATCATAACATACAAAAACTTAGTATTTTAATGTATTTCTTTGTAGAATATCTGTTAATATGTTTATGCAATCATGATTATAACTGTCCAATGTTTTATTTATTTTAAATGTTTTTATTTATTTCAGAGAGAGGGAGAGAGAGAGAGAAAGAAACATCAATGATGAGAGAGAATCATCTATTGGCTGCCTCCTACACCTCCCCACACTGGGAATCGAGCTCGCAACCCAGGCATGTCCCCTGACTGGAAATCGAACCAGTGACCTTTCAGTGCAAGGGATGACACTCAACCAACTGAGCCATATTGGCCAGGGCTTAATCAGAGGCTTACTTTAGATACAAAGACACAAATAGATTGAAAGTGAAAGAATGAGGAAATAGATTATGATACATATGTACAGTGAAACAGTATTCAGCCACAAAAAATAAAATAAAGTGCATGCTATAACTGGGATTAACCTAGAAAACATTATGCTAGGTGTGATAAGCCAGACACAAAAGGTGATATACTGTATGATTCCTTTTATGTGATATATTCAGAATAACCAAATCCAGAGACAAGTAGCAGATTAGAGTATATTAGAGATGTTGAGAGGAGACAATGGGGAATTATTACTTAGTAGGGAATTATGGAGTATTTTATGGAGTGATGAAAAATTTTTAAACTAGAGAGCTGATGGTTGCACCACATTGTGAATATACTAAATACCAATTGTACATTTTTAAATTGTTGTATGTTATGTTCTATGAATTTCAACTCTATAAAAAAATTTGTAACACCTTAGCAACATTTTAGATTTTGAGCACAGTATTACAGTTTAATACCCTTTTAAAACTAGGTAACTATTAAGGTTACAAATAAGTATCCTTCAGTTGTATACAAAGCTAAGTGCCAATGACATGCACGTCATGCTCCAAGAAGAACCCAAGAAAGGGCCCACATTTTGGGGTCTGTTGGCAGCCCATTAGGAGACCCTTTGTGGTCTACCAGTAGATGGTGAACAACATTTGAGAATCAATGATCACTTCCCAGTAACATGACAGCAGCTGTGGACAGGCACAACTGTTAAAGGGCACAGGGCATAAAGCCCAGGGCTGGAATCCTTAGTGAGGTTGAAGGGCATAGTGCAAACTTGATGGCGATGCTTGTGTGAAATGGGAAGGGGGAAGTGAACAGGAGCATATGTTTTCTGCTCAGGCTGCAAACAGGAAGTGACTGTTCCCAATAATGGGAGTTGCCTAAGTATGTTCCATATCTGTATATTATTAATTAAAAGTAAGCCTGAAACTTACTGACGTGCCACTGGGTTTCAGTCTGGAAATGAAGTCACGTACTCAACCATTTTCCAACCTCCAAACCTCTGATGCTTCTCCTGCCAGTAAGGTTGGAAGCAAACTAGCATACTTTTCCACCTCCCAGGAAGAACCTTATGCCATACCTTACCTGGACAAGACCTCTGTTGGTTGCACATGCTCCCCTGCCCACTAACGATAAACAGTTCTGGAGCACCAAACCAGTAAGTTAAACTTTGAAGCGGAGTTCCTTCGGCAGCTGAAAAAAGAAATTTGGCAACTTTCTTTTTTAAGTCAAATGTATGTAGCTATCAACCAGATAATTAACTAAGTATTAACTATCACCTTACTTGAGTGTTCAACAATGTTTCCAGGATACAAGATAAAGAATATACCTCGCCCTTGTCCTGAACTCTATGCTTCTTGAGGGCAGAGGTTGTGGCTTATTTGCCTGTTTATTTAGGGTCTAGCATAATGGCACCTACCATAATAGGTATTCAGAAAAAATTTCCAAGTGAGAAATTCTATCAAGTTGGTAAGATATATCTATTAAAGGCCAATTTAATGGCTGTGTGGTACAGAGGAAAGCACTTCTGTTTTTCTCCCTCTCTTTTGAGGGCACTTGTGATGGCATCTGAGGCCCACTAGATCAAGCATGTCAAACTCAAAGGCTAACACGGGCCAAATAAATGAGGCATGCGGCCACGAGTTTGACATGCTTGCACTAGATAACTGAGGATAATCTCCTCATCTCAAGATCCTTAAATTAATAACATCCCAAAATACTTATTTTTACAAATAAGGTGACATTCACAGGTTCTGAGGATTAGGGTAAGGATATATCTTTGGGAGTCATTATCAGCCTACCACACTGATTTCTGGTCATATCACATATGACCAGAAGTAATGTACACCAGTTCCAGGCCTGGACCGTGAAAACTTCCCAGGTAAGATCTCCTCTCTTCCCCTCTCTGCCAGCTATCCAACTGGCCATGTGTTATGTGTTAAAGATGGCAGATACTCTATTACCCTGGGTCCCTGAAGGGCTATGTGAAACAGATTCCCCTTTTAGCCCTGATGATTGGCCTTTATATAAGGATTAATATCTACTATTGTCTTAAACCATTGATAATCTGGGGTTTACCTGATTAAATAGCTGGCATTATTTTAAGTAATTCATTATAAATCTAAAGTTGTCCTCCTTACCCCTGATATTCTCCTTTTCAATATCCTGTTAGTAGCCCTTTTTGGAAGAAGTAATTATTTTATTCACTTATATATTTGCTTATTTTTAAAAAATATATTTTATTGATTTTTTACAGAGAGGAAGGGAGAGGGATAGAGAGCTAGAAACATCGATGAAAAGAAACATCGACCAGCCGCCTCCTGCACACCCCCCACTGGGGATGTGCCCGCAATGAAGGTACATGCCCTTGACTGGAACTGAACCCGGGACCCTTCAGTCCACAGGCCAACACTCCATCCACTGAGCCAAACTGGTCAGGGCTATTTGCTTATTTTTTATATGATTCTCACTAGACTAAGTTTACAAAGGCAGGGACCATGTATGTCTTATTCACCGTTGTGTTCCCAATCGTCTTACCTAGTGTTTGACACACAGTAAGTATTCAATATACATTTGTTAAAAATATAACTCAAAGACCCCTGACAAATCCACTCTGCAGAGGGGAAGGCCATCTTTCCTGGTCAATAAATCAGATCATGAAGCACAATGGACAGTTAATTCCAAAGGCCTCAAGGAAGCCCATCTCACAAGCCCTGAGTCTTGCCAGGGGAGCAGAGGTAGGTTCCCACACCTAAGCCACGATACCATGAGACCCAGAGCAGTTCCAGACACTGGGCCAAGTTCATGTAAGTTGACTAAATCCTTCCAAGTGGCTGTGCAACTGCCTACCTTTGCAGGCCAAGGAGCAGATCTCTTTTTAAAAAATGTTTTTATTGATTTCAGAGAGAGGAAGGGAGAAGGGGGAGGGAGACAGAAACATCAATGATGAGCGAAAATCATTGATTGGCTGCCTCCTGCTCGCCCCTTACTGGGGATCAAGCCCAAAACCAAGGCATGTGTCCTGACCGGGAACAAACTGTGACCTTCTGGTTCATGGGTTGATGCTCAACCACTGAGCTACACCAGCTGGGCAAGGAGTAGATCTTAATGTGAGCACAAAGAGGATCCCCAAAAATTGCCTCACCCTTAACCCATAATCCTAAATATAAGTCCCCCTCAGTACTATGAGGCCAAAACTAAGAAGGAACTCAAGACCCAGTATGCAATTGCCCTGAGTTCCCCAGACATCTGTAGCAAAGAGAAATTGGACTTCCAAGGGTCCCCGACCCTGGGTTCCCCATAGTTGTACTCCCTTTATCTGCCAGGACACCCTGTTATCCATTGTCAGGGTTCTGGATCTCTCTCTTCACTAAAATCTCGCTTGCTAAGACCAGCAAACTCAAATGTCCACACGCTATGTACATTTTTCAGTCTTCATTTTACCAAACATTTCTACAGGAGCTGCCACAGATGACCACTCTGTGTTGCTTGAGACTTTCTCCTCTCTTGACTTCCAGGATAATAAACTCACTTGATTCTCCTCCTACCTCCCAGTCAGCCCCTTCTCAATCTTCATTACAGGTCACTCACTCCTCCTTGCCCATTCCTTAAATGTTGAGGACCCTTGGAATACCATCCTTAATTCATTGAATGAGCCCATAATCAGATGGCTCCCGAGATGACCAGTGTGCTAAAGATTTCCAAATCAGTCTCTAGATACAGTTCATCTCTGGAGCTCTGAGCTGCACATCCACTGACCTCTTGCACTCCCATGTACCTCACACCTGTATTAAGGGATTAGGAGCGTAGGCTCAAAAGGACACAAAGTCTCTTATATAGTATTCTTGCCAAAATACATAATCTGAATATAATCATAATGAACAGACAAACCCAAATTAAGAGACATTCTACAAAACAATAAGCCTGTATTTATTTTATAATTTCAATGTCATGAAAGACAAAAAAAGGCTGAGTCCAGATTAAAGGAAAACAAAGAAGTAAGACAACTAAATTCAATGTGTGATTCAGGATTAGATCCTGCATTGCAGAAAAAAGTGCTATTAGAATTAGGAACAGTAATGGAACAATCATTTGGATTTGAATATAAACTATATTAACAATACTGCTTCAATGTTAAATTTTCTGAATTTAATAAGTACAATGACTAGATAAGAGAATGGCCTTGAGATACACATTAGAATATTTAGGCATGAAGGAAATGATCTTTGTGACTTCCAAATATTTCAATAAAAACAAAAGGGGGAAAAAACAAGAGGAAAAAAAAGATAAAGCAAATGTGGGAAAATGTTAATAATGGGTAAATCTAGATGAAGGGTCCATAGTAGTTCACTGTAATATTTGTGTAACTTTTCAATCAATTTAATTTTTCCCCAAAAATAAAATGTTTAATAAGAGAGAAGGAGTAGGTTTAGGGTTTAAAGTTCAGCTCTATCACTTACTAATTGTACAGCCTTGGGAAATTATGTAACCATCAGTGACTCAGTTTCCTCAGCTATAAGTCAGGGATAATTATTAGCGCCTACATTATAAGGTTTTTGTGAGGATTAAATAAATTGACACATGTAAAGCGTTTGGAACACTCCAGTATATGTTGAACACTGAATAAATGCTAGCTAGTACTACTAGGTCTAAAATTAAACTCACTTCCTCTCACCCTGGCCAGTGTGGCTCAGTTGATTGGGCATCATCCCCTGCACAAGAAGGCTGCTGGTTTGATTCCCAGTCAGGGCACATGCCCAGGTTGTGGGCTGGATCCCCAGGGGGAGACATGCAGGGGGCAGCCAAACGATGTTCCCCTCTAGATGTTTCACTTTCTCTCTCCTCTCCCCCTCTCTAAAAATCAGTAAAAATAATTTTTAAAAAACCTCATTTCCTCTCCAACTTAGACTGTCTCTTATATCCTTTTTGTTTTGTTTCATTAATCCTCACCAAAGGATATTTTTTCCTTTGCTTTTCAGAGAGTTGAAGGGAGGGGGAGAGAGGGGAAGAGAAAGAGGAAGGGAGGGACGGAGGGAGAGAGGGGGAGGGGGAGAGAGAAACACATCAATATGAGAGACACACCAACCATTTGCCCGCTGCACATGCCCTGGTCGGGTCCAAGAGTGAACCTGCAACCCAGGTATGTGCCCTTGAATCGAACCTACAACCCTTTGGTGCATGAGCTGACACTCTAACCACTGAGAAACACCAGCCAGAGTTCTTATATTCCTGACCATGGTTTATAGAATCATGATCCAGTCAGTCTTCTAAGCTAGAAACTTCACTCCATCCTTCTTTGTGTCCTAGCACTTTGCCCATGTCTCTATTACAGCACATGTTATGAGATAACATACTTGCATGTCTGTCTCTACTAGTTTATGTTAGTCTCAACTAGATTGAAGTTGGGAATGGAAGGCAAGGGAGAAAGGGAAAGAGCACTCCAGAGAGAGGAAATATCATAAAAGGCTCAGAGATGAGAGAACAAGGTACAAAGAAGTCCAGTTGGATTGGCGTACAAAAGGTGAGAGAGTGAAGAGCATGGAGTGAGGTTAGACTGAATAAATTTATATCATACAAATTATTTGTATTCAAAATTTGAAAGAGTTCTCTGGTACCATCCATTAGAGCAGTGCTACCTCTTCCCTCCTGTCATCAAAGATGGGGACTAAGCCCAAGAGAAACAAAGGCAAAGCCAGAGAAAAGAGATGACAAAAAGGCATGCGAGGGGAAGAAGAGCTAAGGCAACCAGGGCTCCCTGATGTGAAGAGACTAGTCAGTGATATGAGACCAGCATTTGGATGGATAAAAGATTATGAGGTGCTATTAGTCATTCAGGTGTCTGGTTGGTAAGCTCCCACTAAATTGCAAACTCCTTCCGAACAGGGAGGGACTGAATAATCGGTTTTCCCAGCAGGTTATATTGTACTCAGCACATACTATGTATGCTCAGGAAATGCTTGCTGCATACACATTAGTACATGTGCAACTACCAAGTGCCTACTCACAGAGACCAGAAAATCTTAACTGGGTAACAGTCCTGCTTCAATTCCACAAGCCTCAAAAACCCAAAGTGCTTAATAGTTTTATCATTATCGCTCACCAGCAGAGGCAGCTTTCATCATCAACTGGAAAAATGTGATGGCACCTCCTTTTCTGAAGGATAGTTTAAAAGTAGCCTGTCCTTCCCAGCCACCTGGGGGAAGAAACGGCACACACTCACTAAGAGGCAGGCTGGCACAGCTGGTAACTGGACTAACGCAAACACTGACAGAAACGTTACCCAAGAAGCAGGGTGGCTGTCTTTCGTTTGAATTCCAACATGAGCCAAGTCTGAATCTTAAACCTTCTGGAAGCTTTTAAGAAAAAAAAATACACTTCTGACTGTAAACACGTACCATCTGGAGCTGCCTGAATGGTTCCTTGAATGTAGTTGGGGGCAAAGACTGGCTGTTCGAGGGTGCAGTTACTCATCAGATCAAATGGCATCATAAAAGAAAGCATGGGATCATCGACTGAGTGTGACGTCACGAAGATCACCTAAGAAAGGAAAGTAACTTTGAAAAAGGAATGCAATTTGTCCATAGTTTGAGACATAAAAATGTCTAAGGTTGTTTGCTTTGGCATCCTGGCCTGATGAAAAGCATCACCCATTTTCTTCTATCATTCTTCAACATGGAAAATCTCAAAGTGCAAATGTTCTAAAACACTTTGAAACTCAATGGTTACCCTCTCTCCATTTTAAGGAAAACAATGTAGAGTTAATGAAAATTGAAGTAGAAAGAGAAATTACCCGGTATGAAGTGAGAAGCAACGTTCCCCTCTTTGTACCATGAAAGAAATTGGATCCTGGTGGTTGCTCTGGGAAGGAGAGCTCCACATCACTACACTGATTCAAGACACTGCAGAAAAGCAAGGGCAGACAGCACACAATTTAGAAGTTACATCAAGTGACGAACATAGAACTCCTGGCACAGTTCCTAGCCTGGACAAACACTCAATAAATGTTAGCTGCTGCTACTACTACTATCTTTACTGACATAAAAAGAATTTAAATTATTTTATTCCCTAACAATTCATATTTATTCTTCTCCATCTTTATCTCTGGATTACAACATTCTTTAAATTTTTCGATTGTATTTATTGAAAATCAGTCAGAAATCTTGTATCTTTTTTATTTTTTAATATTTTTTATAAGTATTTTTTTAAAAATATATTTTTATTGATTTCAGAGAGGAAGGAAGAGGGGGAGAGAGAGATAGAAACATGCATGATGAGAGAGAATCATGGATCGGCTGCCTCCTGCAAGTCCCCCACTGGGGATCAAGCCCACAACCCAAATCGAACCCATAAGCCCTTGACCGGAATCGAACCTGGGACCTTTCAGTTCACAGGTCGACGCTCTATCCACTAAGCCAAACCGGCTAGGGCTTGTATCTTTTTTTAAAGATTTTTTTAAAAAAATTGATTTTGAGAGAGAGAGAGAAACATCGATGTAAGAGCAAAACCTCCATGGGCTGCCTCCTGCACGCCCCCTACCGAGGACTGAACATGCAACTTAGTTACATGCCCTGACCAGGAATCAAACCAGCAACTTTTTAGTGCCTAGGACGATGCACAGCCAACTGAGCCACACCAGCCAGGGCTGGATTATTTTTCTTATAAAACTACTTGTATTCTTTCTGTTTATTCACAAATGCTTATACTTCTTGTGCAGGAACTATCAAGCGCTGTGCTAAAGGAAATGTTAAAGCAGGTAAGGCATGCAGAATGCTCCAGAATCCTCTCACATGTTGCTCCCGCTGCCATTCACGTTCTCCCCTCACTCTTAACCTGAAAAACTTGGGTTCATCCATAGAATCCCATTGGTTTTTTCTTAGTAAAGACTATATGTGTTGATTAGTTCAACGTCTTTCCTAATGATCACTAAGGACAATGTCTGCCTTCTTTGCCACTGCAGTCTTACCAAGTGGTGGGTGCTACTAAATATTTACTGAGAGAATGAACAACTGAATTACATGAATACAGGTACTAACACAAGCAATATATGACAACATAAATGGCACAAAAATGTCACGACAACTAAGTGAAAGGGGAGGTTAGTTTTGGTTGAAGTAATTAGGAATGACTTTATAGAAAGATTGAAATATGAGCTGATTCTTAAGGGGTGAATAGTGTTTCAAGATCTTTTTTTGGTTAATTCTCACCCGAGGATATTTTCCCATTGATTTTTAGAGAGAGTGGAAGGAAGGGGGAGAGACACAAACATTGCTGTGAGGAACACGGATTGGTTGCTTCCGGCATGTGCGAAAGAAAGAAACATGGATTTATTGTCCCACTCAGTTAGGTATGCACTGGCTGATGCTTGTATGTGCCCTGACCGGGGATCGCACCCACAACCTCAGGGTATGGGGGCGATGCTCCAACCAGCTGAGCGACCCGGCATTCAAGGGGCTCAGGGGGGCTCAGTGCACCTGAGCACAGCACCTGGTGTCAGGACCGCACTGCCAGGCGACTCCAAAGGACACACGAGGGCCACCCCCGCGGAGAGGGGTGTGGTTAAGAGGGGTCAGGCGGCGGACAAGCAGGACTCTGAGAAACTGGGGGCCGGGGAATTAAGGGAGGGGAGTTGCGTGTGAGGTGGAGGGGCGAACAACCAACAACCGACTCCCTCCAGACAGACAGCCTGAGCGCGGCCAAAGGCGGGGGAGCAGCAACCCTGCAGGCACTGAGCAAAGCGACCTGCAAACCCTAAAGCGCCCGCGGCCCGCCCCGCCCGCCGAGGGAGCGCCATTCTTCCCAGGCGTCTCTTCTTCCGGTCCCAGCCTTTTCCATAAACAGCAGGCTTCTCCCTGGCTGGGGCCAAAAAGTAAGGGGGCTTTGGGAAGTTGTGAAGACAAGGAGCGTCCCCCTCCCGCCCCCCCGCCCCCCGCGCCTGACAGTTTGGAGTCTTTCTAGAATTTTCCACACAATGCCTCTTCCGCCGCCCGAAGTCCACGGCCTAGTTTTCCAGAGTGGGCGGAGGGAGCGCGGCTACGGCCATCACCCTACAAAGGTCGCTACCTCGCGCCCAACAGCAGCTGCACGCCACCCGCAGGGGCGGTGCGACTCCCCGCCGCCCCAGGGCGGCTCACCTTTCTTCTGAGGTGACACGGGACTCCCCACCGCCCCAGGGCGGCTCACCTTTCTTCTGAGGTGACACGGGACTCCCCACCGCCCCAGGGCGGCTCACCTTTCTTCTGAGGTGACACGGGACTCCCCACCACCCCAGGGCGGCTCACCTTTCTTCTGAGGTGACACGGGACTTCCCACTGCCCCAGGGCGGCTCACCTTTCTTCTGAGGTGATGCGCCCTCTCCAGGAGATCCCGCCCCGCCCTCAGTCACCGGAGGCGCGCTCCCGCCCTTCACACGTGCGAGGCCACACGCTTCCGCTTGCGCCACCGCCACGTCGAGGAGCAGGAGCGAGGGCGTGAGGCCGAGGACGTGAGGACGCGCACGCGCACGAACGTCGGAGGCGGCGCTAAGCGGTGAAGCGTCGGAAAAGGGCGCGAAAGCCCCTGATTCGCTGAGAGCTCGCAAGCCGCCGGCTCTACCCAGTCTGTCCCGCCCCGCACCCCCCTCCGACAGCACCCCGGCTTCCCCTCAGGCACCTTTCGCCGTAAGGGATGTAGGGCTTGCGGCGGTTTTCCGTGTGGTTCTGGTTCACCGCCATCTTGCTGGGGGGGGGGGGGCCTCCGGCCGCCCCGCAGATGGGAAGGGGCGGGGCCTGCACCAAGCCGAGGGGCCGGGCTGGAAAGCGGAGGGTGGCGATTATGGCGCAAAGACAAGGAGTGAGCGGTCCGCTAGGCCGCCAGCCTGGTGAGCCGCAGTGATGGAGGCCCCGGTGGAATCAGAGTTGAGACACCCCGCCTAACCGGGGAAGGAGGCGGGTCCAGGGAGTTGACTCCGCCCTCAGGGCACAGAGGGGTGAGTGGCCTTCGTGACCCTGCCTGCCCTGCTGCTGCATCATCAGCATGAACTTGAACGGATCCTGTCAGGAAATCAAAAAGCAGGCGTTGCCGCAGTCCTCCCAGGCCCGGGTCAGGAAGCTTCTGCCCTTTGGAGAAAGGATCCAGAATGATCTCTCGCTTCTAAGGTGGAAACTTTTTCCCACCAGAGAAAGCCTGGAACCAGAGCCGGTTTCTTATGACGCGGCCTGCAGAACAGGAAGTCAAAGGGGGTCCGTGCCTGCCCCGAGGTGGAGAGAGCCTGTGCCATCCACCGCACCTGCCCTGCCACCCCTGAGGGCGATCGTGGAGAGCCGGCGCGATACATCACACACAATCGCTTTGAAAACTAAAATGCTGTACATACTCTTATTTCCTTTCAACATCACAGATAACACCAGAGAGCTTCAAAGGGAAAGGACGTGAACATCTGGATTACTGCAGTTCATCAAACTTAACATTCTGTCAGTTATAAGATGCACCATTTTTAAACGTGCCACTAAGAAAAAAAAGTTGCCAAGTAAACTGACATGTCATCAGTTGTAAGTGGTACTCTGATTTCAGAAATATGTATATTTTTAAGTCCAAGACAATGAGAATAAATGAAGTACAATGGGAACGGTGTGCAGCAGTGGAACAGTCATTGGGATCTGGTCTCCTTCTTGCACCGGTACTTACGTGTGCAACTTCAGACAAGACAGTTATGCTCTCTGGACTTACGCTTCCATATGGGCACGAAGGCATTGGACTAGAAGAACTCTTAGGTTTCTTCTAGTGATATCTTAAGTTGGAAAAACTGCTCCATCACTCCAATCTTCACCCTTCTCCCCATCCAGGCGTAGCGATGCACTCCAGTTCTGGCCCTCATCATTTTACCTGCATGACCCCCAAGAGCCCCCGGACTTGTCTTCCTCCAGTCTTGACCTCTCACTGTTCATCTATACCAGTGATGGCGAACCTTTTGAGCTTGGCGTGTCAGCACTTTGAAAAACCCTAACTTAACTCTTGAGCCGTGTCACATATAGAAATTTTTTTATCTTTGCAACCATAGTAAAACAAAGATTTATATTTTTGCGTAGCGATGCACTCCAGTTCTGGCCCTCATCATTTTACCTGAATGACCCCCAAGAGCCCCCAGACTTGTCTTCCTCCAGTCTTGACCTCTCACTGTTCATCTATACCTTGCACTCACAGAATGTTGAGATCCCAAACACAATCGCATGTATGGGCCCATCATGTCCAAATTTAGAGAAATAATATACAGGTGAGAGTTGTGTTATTTGCTGGTTACAAAGGAGAGGATAAACCTCAAAGAGAAGCAAAAAAAAAAAAAGAGAGAGAGAGAGAGAGAGACAAGCTAGTGATTTAAATTGTTTTCATTGAAGGAAGCAAGCTATGCAATGCATCCCTCAAGATCAAGTATGAGAGTTTCATCACTCATTTTAGATACAAAATCCCAGGGAATAATGACTGGGGTCCAACTAAAGATGAACTGACCTTACAAAGTGATTTCTATCTTTAATTTCTGTGGCTACTTCTAAGACAGTCCCTGTCTCACCCTCCACACATGGGTGAGATGATGTAATGTCTGTTTGGCCAAGAAGTGAGGAGCACAAATAAGACACAGGCCAGGCAGTTATTGTTCAAACAGCAATGTTTAGTTGTACAACACATAAAGTCTAGCAACATTTACACAACCAGTTTGAGTGTCATTGGCTTGTTTTCAGTTGGGAAATTTAACCATAATGTCACCAAAAGGTTGGCTGGGACTAGTCACATTTAAGAAATGGGTCGTTCTTGCATCCCCTAGGCTTGGGCCTCTTGCTCCATCAGGACTCGGTTGTAGATGAATGGCCCACAAGTCACCAGCCTTTGAGCAAGTTGTGTCCAGGTGGAGAAGGGGAGGGGTGGGCAGGGAGAGATTCCATAAAGACACAGTGTGTGGGGCAGTGGCAGCCGACATTCGCAAACATTCATGCATCTGATAAGGGCCTTTGCCCTCCATTGGGTATTTTCCACTAGCCTACAGTGACCAACTGTGGCCAGACTGATTCATTACTCACATTAATTGGGGAGGGGGCGGGTAGGAATAGTCAATGTGGGTGGGAAGAGATCCTTCTTATTGCTAAGTAGACAGATGGGTGCTTTTTTTCTTCCTAGAGTTCACATCTTCTGGGGATCTGGAGTTTTTTTGTCTGTGTTTAGTTCCTTTGTTTTTTAAGGTTGAGGATAAGGGAGTCAACCCAGAAATGTCTCTTCGGAAAACCACTCTTCCTAAGTGGCTGATTATGGGGTGGGGAGGGTGTGTAACCACACTCTGGGCCAGCCACAAGTGGTGCTTTTTAAAGGAGAGGTCCTAGCCCTTACTCCCCCACATCTGTAGTGACCCATCCTTATAAATAAGTTTTAAGCAATGAAGGAGACACCCTTGTCCCACACCAGGGCTCACACAGCTGACATCAATGAATCTGACAAGCAGAAAAATGGCTTTCTTGACCCTTTAAGGAAGCCAAGAGTAGCTCATGCAGATGGACAGGGAGCAATGCCATGTCCCTTGGAGATGGTAACAAGTAGCTGGTATGGGTTTGCAAGGGCAGAAGAAGCTCTTGATGAGTTCTTTCACCCTACAGATGGGCTGGGACCAGCTGACACAGACGATGGAGGAGGGCAGTGCTGGCGAGGGCTCCATTCCACTGGGAGGAGAGGGGTGTTTGGATAAATGGAGAAGGCGACTGTCCTAAAGCAGCTGGCCCCTCCCACCTGCTGAGGGCCAGGGAGAGAGAAGGGCTGTGGAGGTGGACTGGACAAACACAGCCCTTAAAAGGTCATGGCCCCGCAGCAATAACAGCTGAGAGGAATGGAGGGAGAAGCAGCGCTTGAAATGGCCTTCATTCAGCAGTGGGGCAGGGGGTGGCTGGCACGGGTGGAAGGACAGAGCCCAGGAGGCCTTCTCCCTGCAGGGGGTTGAGAACGGTTGAGGGTGTGGACACCAGACAAATAAAACAGCTTCTCCAGGGAGGCTGAGATCATGGTTTAGGGGCACCACGCCACATTTCCTATTCAGCCTCTTCAATGCCCAACCGCCACCCTTAGACATTCCCTGATAGGCCTAGGGGTCTAGTCCCACATTTCCGCACAGGACTGCTGGCTGTATAAGCCCGGGATCCCTCTTTTGCTGAAATGTAGCAACCTCTGGGCTCTAACCCTATTGCTGTTTTATCCCGACAGGTGCCTACACTGGAATAACTGTGGGTAAGGGAGGATGTGGGTTGGATTTGCAAAGAGCCTCCAGGAAAGATTGAGGCCGTAGGTTTTGGGTCATTGGCGATCGATCACCCACCTCTTTCACCTGGTGCACTGACTCTTGGTCTTAAGTCTTTGTGTTTTCCTAGCACCTGAGTGAAAAGGGACTGTAAATGCTGGGGTTCACAGGGGCCCTGCGAAACACCTAGGGTTGGACCAGGACATGGAACAGGAGGTTGCGTGAGGTCACTGTAAACTGTCCCTCGGTGATTTCCCTTGCCTAAGGCTATATTGTTTCCCCAGCCACACATTTTAGCCGCCTCACTGATTAAAGGAGGAGTAACGTGTTTGTAAAACAAATAGGATATATGTGCATTAATAAATACAGGGCTGAAGGGAAAGGCAAGAAAAGGCTAAATGTATGATTGTGGGTGTCACTGGGAATGTCTACAGGTGTCAGGAGGGGGAACAGGGGAAAGCAGCAGAGAAAGACAGACAAACCAACATGCAATTAGCTTCAGCACAAAAGTGAGAACAGAGGAGGGAAGAGGGGGTCAAGTTCATAGGAAAAGAAGGAAGCAACAGAGAAGCCAGCTTTAAGGAGGAAGAATCCTAATGGAGAGAAATAAGGTGTCATTTAACATTTGTCTCTGGGCTGGCTGGGTTGGCCCAGTTGGTTGAGCGTCGTCCCATGGACCAGGAGGTCACAGTTGGATTCCTGGTCACGGGACACACTCAGGTTGCAGGCTGGATCCCCAGTAGGGGTCGTACAGGAGGCAGCTAATCAATGTTTCTCTCTCATTGATGTTTTCTCTCTCTCTCTCTCTCTCTCTCTGAAATCAATAAAATAAAATTTTAAAGTTGTCTCTGAAGCCAAACTACCAAGAAAGACAAATATTGTACTAGTATTTTGTTCTTGATACTTCTTTAGACTCAGTTCTTCTAGAACTGAATGCCTAAAAACAGTGTCTCACTTGACCAGCCTGCATGCTGCTTTTACCAGACACTAGGAAGCACCTACCGCACTGAGCCTCCTCCTTTGCCCGGGCTGCCCACAAGCTCAGCGCCAGACGCAGCGCTCGCCTGCACACACGCTTTCCCATTCCTGTCGATGGACCTCAGTTCTCATAGTCCCAGTTTGAACCGCCCCATGCTTTTAGCTGTGATTTTATTTTAAGGTGGCCTAAGTCATTTTTGGAAGTAGACTGGGCATAAATTCTAAATATAGAAATGTAGCTAAAGTGGATTAGTCTACAAGGAACTTACAGAAGTGAGGGAGAAGCAGGATGAAGAAATGAGGGGAAGGGAGAAAAAGAGAGACTGTGGGAGCTGAGGCGAGCGTGACGTGTGGAAGCAGCAGGCTGCGACAGGGACAGGCAGTAGCTCTTGGACAGTGAATGCAACACAGACCAAAGGGTGGAGTTCTTGTCTCCACTTCTAGGCACTAATTCTCGCAGGCGCCCAGCTTGGCCTACTTCTCTGCTGGCCCCTGACCTTCCTTTTTCCCAGGAAGTCCTGGCCTTGCCCCAAACCATCTGGCTTCCAGGCAGGGGTAAGTCCGAGCTCCTCGCCCCCTCCCAGGCCTAGCTCTGCTGCCTGTCCTCGGAGAATCTCTGCAGACCCAGAGTGCGGGCAGGTTGAGAGATAAGAAAGAGTTACCTGTGGCTCACCTGCGCCCTCATTTTTAAGTGAAACCTTCCCAGGCCTCTTGAGTGAGGCACACGGCTTGGTTCTGGGACACAAGGAAAGGAGACAGATAATGGACAGCCATGGAGAAACCAAACTTACAAGGGACTTTCCAGGGAGGGCAGTGAAAATACCTCACCCCTGAACAGGCACACAGGCACACAGGCACACACACACTCCCACTCTCTCTCTCTCTCTCTCTCTCTCACACACACACACAAACACACACACATGCACACACACTCACACACATGCACTCACACTGTAGACAAGATGCTCCATGAATACCAGACAGGCCTGTGGGACAGAGTAGAAGGAAGGTGGCTGGAGGTGGTACTGGGGATGTGTGTGGAGAAGTGGGGATGTGTGATGATGTAGAGAAAGGGTCGTCATGGGTTACTGTCGTGGCTTCCCTCTGTGTCCACGCTCACCGGAGGGAGGCCTCCGTTGTCATTGAGCCTCTTGGCCCTGTAGGTCTCATAGTGGATGTTGTGTGTCACTTCCTTGAGGTCCTGGAGGTGAGTCCTGAGGGACACAGGTGAGGGGAGAGAGAGAGGCGATTAGGGGTGGGAGGACGAAGAGGTGACCCCCCACCCAGGGTGAACACTTCCCTTCCATGGCCTGGACCCGCTGGGACTGACTCGGAGAGCCAGCGCTGCCTCTTCCACCCCTTGTGCTTCAGGAGGGGACCTGGAAGCGGGGCAAACGGCCCGTCAGAGAGACCTGGAGACTGAGGCCCTGGATCTGAACAGATGGCCTTCTGACCCGAAATCATTAAGCCTGCCATCGAGGGCAGGGGTTCATCTTACCTGATGACAAAGTCTCGAAGCAGGGCAAACTCACAGTGGTGGAGGTTTTCCACTGTGAACAGAACAAAAGGAAACAAAGCAAAACAGGTGGTCACTTCACTGACGCAGCAACCCAGCAGGTGCGCTTCTGTTCAGGACATGGAGGCAGTTAGGAGAGAGCCAAGGACAGCGACTAGCCGTCAGAGGTCGGCCTATCTTGGCACTTCAGTGCACTCGATTTCACTCATGGAACAAACATTTATTACGCAGCTACAAGGCACAATACTGTTCTGGACTCTGTGGAATAACACTGGCAGGGACTATTACATGCCCCACTTCATAGAAAAGAAAACAAATACACAGGGAGACTAAGAAAAGACATAGTTCCTATCCGTAAGGAGCTTATAATCAGACTGGAGGATAGTGACACATAGAAAATAACAACCCAGCCATCTTAAAAATGGTCGTGCACTACATGATAAATCTAGTTCAACATAAACTGATTGCCTAGGATTTGCAAATCATTTGTCAACGATTGTGGGAGCAGAAGAGGATTAAGACATGTACCCTGCCCTGGCTGGTGTGGCTCAGTTGGTTGGAGTCTCGCCTATGCACCAGAGGGTTTCAGGTTCAATTCCCAATCAGGCACATGCCTAGGTTGCAGGTTCCATCCCTGGTCAGGGTGCATACAGGAGGCAGCCAATCGATGTTTCTCTCTCACATTGATGTCTCTCTCTCTCTCTCTCTCTCTCTCTCTCTCTCTCTCTTAAAAATTAAATTAAAATAAAGACATGAACCCTCTGGTCTCATAATCTAATGGGTAAAACAGCCATTCTCATAAATAGTTCCAATTCAAGGCAGATAATGAAAAACGCTATTAAAAATATATAGAGGATGTATATAGAATTGTACCCCTGAAATATATTTAATTTTACTAATCAATGTCACCCCAATAAATTCAATAAAAACAAACCAAAAAAGAAAATGAAAAAGAATTTTCAACAAAAAGTCATAGGGAAATGAGAGACAACATGATACAATGGGATGAACTTGGTTTTGGAATCAACATGTCCAGGTCTGAAATCCCAGTTTCACCACTAACAAGTCATGTGATTTGGGCAAGACATTTAACCTGTCTGAGATTCAAGAGCTTCATCAGCTGATGCTCCGAAAAGTCACACCTACCCTGCTCCCCTTAGGCAGTGGTTCTCAACCTTCCTAATGCTGCGACCCTTTAATACAGTTCCTCATGTTGTGGTGACCCCCAACCATAAAATTATTTTCATTGCTACTTCATAACTGTAATGTTGCTACTGTTATGAATCATAATGTAAATATCTGATATGCAGGATGTATTTTCATTGTTACAAATTGAACATAATTAAAGCATAGTGATTAATCACAAAAACAATATGTAATTATATATGTGTTTCCCGATGGTCTTAGGCGACCCCTGTGAAAGGGTCGTTCAACCCCCAAAGGGGTCACGACCCACAGGTTGGCGACCCACAGGTTGAGAACCGCTGCCTTAGAGGGTTATCATACGGAATGAGATCACTGAAGCAATTCTTTGAAAACTTTCAGAATCCTTACGACCTTCTCAAGGTCACATCCGTTCATAATAAAACGAAAATGGCAACATCTGCACAACCCTTCAGCAATCTGTCAGGTCACATCAGCTTTCATGGGAAAGCCTTTCTCTGGCGTGTCCAGTCCTTATTAATCTCCCCACGGTCTGAAGACCGTTGACATGTGAGTCGGTGCCTCCCAGACAGGTGCGAAATCAGTCTTTTATTGCTTCCGGCCTTGGGAGTCTCATTTCTCAATTGGACTGTAAGCTCCTTATGGCAGGGTCTGCCTGGCACTCCTTTTCTATCTTACATCCTAGCACAGTGCCTTGACCTAGACATGCATAATAAATCAGCATAATTGGCCAGCAGCCGGTTCTTCAAAAAGGTGCGCTGGGTTACCTTCGATGATCCCCCAGGGAGTCTTCCTGCCGAGGACCCGCTTGCCGTTCACTTGGTATTCCTTGTCGCTTCCCACCACGGCAAACGGCATGCTCTCCTGCTGACAAACCAGACGCGTGCGCACGTCATCCTCTGCCATCTGGGCCCCCAACCCTGAACTGCACACTTCTGAGGTTCATTCAGGGACCCCACTGATGGCAAGGGCAAGGCTCTTGTCATTTCAAAAGAGCACTGGAGCCCAGCCAGTGCGGCTCAGTGGTTGAGCATCGACTTAGGAACCAGGAGGTCAGGGTTCGATTCCTGGTCAGGGAACATGCCTGGGTTGCGGGCTCAAACCGCAGTAGGGGATTCTCTCTCATCATTGATGTTTCTATCTCCCCTCTCCCTTCCTCTCTGAAATCAATAAAAATTATATATATATATATATATATATATTATTTTTTTAAAATACGTTTTTATTGATTTTAGAGAGAGAGGAAGGGAGAGTGAGAGAGAGCAACATCAATGTGAGAGAGAAACATCCATTAGTTGCTTCCTGCATGCACCCTGACTGGGGATTGAGCCCAGGCATGTGCCCTGACCAGGAATTGAACTGGCAACCTTTCAGTGCACAGGATGATGCTCAGCCAACTGAGCCACACCAGCCAGGCCTTTTTTTTTTTTTTTTTTTAAAGGGAAGTCCTGGATTTAACCCTGACTGCACCCGGCCTCACTGGTCAGCCTCAGTAAGTCGCTTTCCTTCAACAGGAGAACGCTTGGGACTTTTCAGAGCGCTGTCCACGTTTGGTTTGATCCGGAACAACTCTGTGAGCTAGCTAGGATGGACAGACCTCTCTTAAACGACACCCACGCAGCGGACGGCCAGAGTAACATGCTTTTACACGGCCTCCCATGAAACCCACGGGCAGAGGCCCACGCCCGCCGGGAGGCCACCTTCTGGTGTGTAGGCCCCTCTGCTCTGCCACGTGGGCTGCATGCTCACCAAGATGCAGCTGTTTGCTCCCAAATGCAGATGCCTGCTGTGTGCTCGTTGTCGTGATTGAATCAATTAACTATTATATAAGCTGAGGGTAGATGTGTGTAGAGAACTGTCTCTCTGAAAATTAAGTTGAATGTTTCAGAAAAATTTGATAAAGGTGAGTTGCTTCTGCACGGACAGTAAACTTAGTCCCCAAGAAGAGGAGAATGTTTACTTAATAATTTAGTAAAATAACTATTTAAACACAGGATGCGTATGCCTCTTTTAAGTGATTTCATCAATTAACTGACCAACTGCCTGTCTTCTCGGCGTCAGACAAGGGGATGGTAGTAGCTTGCCCACACCTGCCAGAGGAGGAGACCCAAGACCAACGCCAGTGGTGGTTTGTCCCGGGTGACCGTGGGTTAGTAGAAAAGGCCGGACTAGACCCCAGGATTCCGAGGCAGAGTCCCAGGTTGCAGAGGGTTCGAGCTGAGAGACCTAAGAAATCACCCGGGCTGGTGCTTTGTAAGCAGGTTCCCTGCAGCCCTGGACTTCCCAGGAGACACCTCGGGCCGGCTGAGAAGGCTCTGTGCCGACATCACTTAGCAAAGCAGCTCCGGCTTTAGGTTTTGTATATTGGAGTTCTGCCTGGCATTTAATTTCTTTAAAGGGTTCTTTCAGGGGGAAAAAAACACCTATCAGCCACTCACTTGGCCTGACCTCTGCATTTTATAGAGGGGAAACTGAGGCAGGGCTCTGTTTTGCTGAGCCCCGGGGGAGGGAGCGGCTGCTGTGGGGTCTGGGGATGACGGGAACAGCGGCTATGGGTGCAGGGCACGCCGTCCTGGCCGAGGCTCCTAGTCCTCATCCCCTCCCTTGTCACTGCTGGTCGGGGTCAGGCACGGTGAGGCAGGGAGAACGGGAGGGAAAAGTAGGTGGGAAGAAGCCAGAAGCAGCATGTGATACACATCCCACGGGTACCCAGGGGGCATCTGTGTGAGCGGAGCCCCAGGCACCCACCCGGATTTTGTCATTCTCCGTCTTGTCCTCCAAATCTTCATCAAATTCCTTCTGTGGGTAGAACTCAATGCCATGTACTTCAAGCTCCTTTCGAACCTAGAGGTGAGGAAGAGAAGCGAGGTAGCCACGTGCCAGGATAATGGGAGGGGTGTGTGTGTGTGTGTGTGTGTGTGTGTGTGTGTGTGTGTGAGTGTGTGTGAGAATGCGTGCATGTGCGCACACACACTGAAGTCAGAGGGATGAACGCAGCCTTGAGAATCCACACGTCTCTGGACTCAAAGGCCCTGGGCAGCAGGGTGATCCTGAATAAGTGTGAACCCCAGGCATACAATTACCAGAGCTCAGCCTGAGATGCAGAATAGTCTGGGGGTGCAGCTTGCTCACCTCAGGGTCTGTGAGGTTCGGGTTTTGATAAGCATCACCGCTGAGTACAGATTTCACATGGCAGCGCTCATGCCACTACGTGTCACATTCCTGTCTGCAGGGAAGAGGTGAGTCCCCACCCCCAGCCTCTCTGTTTGCCCTCTTTCAAAGCTCCCCTCCCCCAGGAAGCTCTCCAGGACCTCTTCAGTGGCCCACTGGGAGGCAGCAACTGTCTATACTTCTCTCGCCTCCCCCACTCCCACCCCACCCCCATCCCCATCCCCACCTGGATGCTTCGCGTATAGGAGTTTATAGGAGACACCAAGAGGACTAGAGAGCCTTATTGATCACTCCAGTCCTCCAAGCACCTAACACTGAGGAGCGGGTGCTCAGGTTCATGTGAGTTATGGATTCAGTGGTCTTTGGGGCTAAGCTGGAGGGTGGGAAGGAGGCAGCCAGGAGATGCACTAACTTCTCTTCACCGTGGTCCCCAGACACTGTGGGTCCAGTCTCTCCAATGATTCAGTAGGAGCTGGGTGGGAAGTGGGGGGAGGGGTGTAATAGTGGAGGAGAGGAGAGGCTTGGCCCAGAGGAGGGGAAGGCTGGGGGGTGGGGGAGGGGGAGGGAAGGAGGAGGGGCTGTCTCACCCTCTGCTTGAATTCGGACTTCTCCTCCAGCGTCATGGTGTCAGCCTTGGCTATGACGGGGATGATGTTCACCACTTTGCTGAGGTGTTTCATGAACTCCAGGTCAAGGGGTCGCAGGCTGGGGCCAGAGAAGGCGGGGTGTCAGGACCACCTTGCCCTCCCCCACTCAGCCACAGGACGGGACAGGAGGACTAGGAACCTGGCTGAGGCCAAGACGCTGCTCTCTCCCCCCACACACAACCACCGTCTCACCATCTGCAGAACAAGCCTGACTCCGTCCACACACGGTCCACCATCTGCCCTGCTCTTCAAATCCTGCTCCTCCCAAAGCCCCCTCAAACCACCCCCCGTGGCATCTTCTCTGACCTGGAACAGCTATGGAGTCACCCCGCCCGTAGGCCCTTGTGTCATGGTTATTTGTGTGTATCTTGTTCCTACGGGCCTCCTCTCAGCCCCACTTCGTCCTGCAGGCGGCCAATGGGGCCCTGCCCCTCCCCTGGCTAAGGACCCAGCTCCCCCCAGACCCCAGGATCCCCATCTGGCCCCAGTTTATAGTCCAGGGCTTACTGGGTTAGGCTGTCTGCTGCCTTGCAGACCCTGAGCCCAGGTTCTAGGGCGGGATAAAGCTAACCACTTCATTGAATTCCTGGGCCCCATCGGGGAACCCGCTGAGTACCCTGTGCCTCCAAATTTGGGGCCTGCCTTGCTCGGGCCAACCTCTCCAGAATGAACCCCGGCCCAGCGGCCGGGCTTAGTAATGTTATGGGACCTCCCCCAACAGGAAGGTTGTCTGCTTGCCCACGGGGGTCCTCCATCCTCTGCCAGAGTTCCCAGCATGCCCTGCTTGTTGCCAGCCTCATTTTTAGACACCTGCCAAATGCTTACATCTGGACCCCATGCCCCACCCAAACCAGCCCCAATCCAGTAGCCCTGCCCCCCCCCACTTCACCGTTCTAGCTGCCCCCACCCCAGCCTTGTGCAAAGCAGGCATCTACTGAATAAAGAAGGAGCTCTCTGCCCTGGGCAATGTGCTTAGCGGTTAGAGCATTAGCCCATGCACCGAGGGTCTCGGGTTCGATTCCCAGCCAAGGGCACCTCCCTAGGTTGCAGTTTCTTCCTTTCTTTCTTTTTTTGTTTTGTTTCTTTTTCTTTTTAAAAAAATATATTTTTATTGATTTCAGAGAGGAAGGGAGAAGGAGAGAGAGATAGAAACATCAATGATGAGAGAGAATCATTGATCAGCTGCCTCCTGCACGCCCCCCACTGGGGATGGAGCCTGCAACCTGGGCATGTGCCCTTGACTGGAATCAAACCCAGGACCCTTCTGTCCACAGGCTGACGCTCTATCCACTGAGCCCAACCAGCTAGGGCCCAGGTTGCAGTTTCGAGCCCTGGCCTGGTTGGGGGCATGTGTGGGAGGCAACCAATTGATGTTTTCCTTTCACACTGATGTTTCAAAAACCTCTCTCTCTCTCTCTGTCTCTCTGATCCCCTCCCTCTCTCCCACTCTCTTTAAAAATCAATGGGAAAATATCCTCGGGTGAGGATTAACAACAACAACAACCACACACACACACACACACACACACACACACGAGCCATCTGCTCCCATATACCAACTTCTCTCCACAGGCACAATCGTGCCACGGCGCCAGAATACCAGTGGGCAGCGTGGGGGCTGATGCTGGCCAGCTTTACTCTCCTGGCAAGGGAGCCAAACGTGCGTGGGGAAAGTGTGGGGAATCACAGGGCCATGACTATACGGGCCCCATCTGGCCCTCCCCGGCTGAGTCCAGGTATTGATTATCAATTACAGAATAGGCACAGATGGTGCCAACCAGAGCCAGGCCCCGCGGTGGGGGTGGGGCAGGTACATACGAGTGTCCCGTCGGGGAGATGAAGTAGAGGCAGCAGTGGACACGAGTGTCCGGGATGCGTTTCTTCCTGGCGATGTTCACCTCCTCCTTCAGGAACTTCTCGTACTGCTCGTTGATGTACTTCTCAATGGGCTCCCAGCTGCGGGTGGGAAGCAGCAGATGCATGTCCCAGAGGAGCTCATCGTAGGCATGGACCTCACACCGGCTCATTTCCTACTTCCCCTGGGGGGTGGGGGGGTGCAGAGTGCCTGCTGACCATTCTCCCTCGGCCCCCACGAGGGCTTTCCTTCTTAGCAAGGCTGGAGCTCCCCCGGGGACCTGGCCCTCGCCCCAGCTGTGGAGCCTGCAGACCCCGCCGCACCCCAGAAAGCATCACACACTGTCCCCAGCTCCCTTCCTTCTCAGTGGGGGCTCTGGAGAGGGGCTGTTTTCTCATGAGTATTTCTCCCGAGTGATAGTAGTGACCGGCGGGGTGCACACAGGATCAGAAAGGAAGGACGTTCAGTGGGGAACGTAGCCGTGGCACGCAGAAGTACTCGGTCACGGCGACAACTCAGTCATGACCACGGTCCTCGTCATGATTACTTCTCTGCATCAAGGAGCATGCATACAACCAGAGCAGAGGGCACCCGTCACTTCTCTAAGGTCGTTCTAAGCTGCCTTGTTCGGCGGCCCTGCCGGTCAGCGGCAGAGCCCGGCTCCCTCACAGAAGCACTGCGGTCTCCGTCCCTCTCTGAAAGCAAACTTCTGCCTAGAACCTTCCATCTTGGTGGCTCGCGGACTGCAGCTTTGCTCTGTGGATCCCAGAGGCTCTCTCCTCATGGCCACTCCCCTCCCCCCTCCTGATTCTCACTCCCCCTCCCCTGACCAGGCCAAGCAGCCTGCGGCCTCAGTGCAGCCTGGGTTTGCCCCCAGGTCCCCTTGCTCCATCTGCCCGGCCCCGCGGCCACCTCCAGGGCATCCCTCCGCCAAAATTCCCTCTGCACTGTCCCCTCCACCCCCTCGCCCAGCCCCCCTCTGGACCTCTTCCCTCGCCTCCTTCAAACCCCTCTCCCATCCTTCAGGGAGACACAGCCCTCAGCGTGGAGGGCCAGGTGGTTCTCAAGTGGATGCACCTGCACCACATCAGCGCCTCCCTGTGGTCTTTAGGGCAGAGAGCTCCCAGGCAGACACGTACCAGTTTTCATTGTTGATCTGGTCTCCAAAGCCAGGCGTGTCGATGACGGTCAGCTTCATTTTGACGCCTCCCTCCTCTATCACTGGGGGGTGAGCAGGAAAGGCATCAGGGGGGTGACTCCTCCAGCTGGCGCAGGAGCCCTGCCGCCCCCCAGCCAGGGAGACCGGGCTCCTTCCTTCTCATGACCAACTATGAGAAGAGTCAAGTTCGGTGACTTCCGCACCTCCACACCTTCGCTCATGCTGTTCCCTGCACCTGGAATGGCCTCCCTACTTCCTTCTGCCTGCCCACCTCCCACGCCGGCCTTAGCGTCCAGCCTGAGCCCCATTGCTTCCCTTCTAACCCCTCCTCCTCCCCTCTCTGGCCTTGCAGTCTGAGGAATTGGCTCCATAGAGTTTAGGGCAGGGGTCCTCAAACTTTTTAAACAGGGGGCCAGTCCACTGTCCCTCAGACCGTTGGAGGGCCAGACTATAGTTTAAAAAAAAAATGAACAAATTCCTATGCACACTGCACACATCTTATTTTGAAGTAAAAAAACAAAACGGGAACAAATACAATATTTGTATTTGCATGTGGCCCGCGGGCCGTAGTTTGAGGACCCCTGGTTTAGGGCTTAATTCTATTCTGTATCGAGGTTGCCTTTCCTTCGCCTCACTCCCCACTAAGCCCCATTCCCCCGCCTTCCTGGCAGAGGCCCTCTGGCCAGTGCCCGGGGTCCCCGCCGGCCCTCACCGTGCCCAATAGCCTTGATCTCCACGGTCTTGGGGATCTTCTCCTCGCGGTTCCAGCTGGAGGCCTTGCGGCTCACTTGCGATTTGAAGAGCGTGTTGACCAGCGTTGACTTGCCCAGTCCACTCTGACCTGAGCAAGACAGGGGGATGAGAAGGCAGGGCCCCCATGGCCCGTCCTGAGCCCGATTAGCTCTCCCAGGCGCTTGCAGAATTCTGGAGCTGGCCACGTCCTGTTTGACGGGGAGGGAGGGGCTGAGCGGGGATTGCAGACTGGGGGGCGGGGGGGGGGATGGTTTCCTGTGTGCGGGAGAAGGACTGGGGCCAACCTGTTAGAGCCCACACACTCCTGCCTGGAGCCCCAGGACCGGCAGCAAATGGGCCCACCTCTGCATTTGGGTGTGTTTTTGCTTAAGTTTCCAGTCTTCACTTTAATACAGAAAATCATGGCGGAATTGCTTGGCACCGACACAGCCTCAGTGCGTGCGCAGTTTCACAACGGCCTTCCTTCAGCCCCTCGAATCCCACAGCAGAGCTACCTTTAATCCCTGCCAAGGTGTCCTGTAGAGATCGAGCCCCACCTAACGTAAAAGATGTGCGAGGCAACCTAACTCATAAGTGCAAGACAGGGCCTGGAGCCCCGGGAGCCTCTTGGCCCATAGCCACTCTTCACCCTCGTGCAGCGGTGAGCATCTTGTGGAGATCAGTGCCCGGAGGACCCTGGGAGAGGAGGAGGAAGCTGAGTGGGCAGGGCCCACCCCTCACCTCCGCTTCCTTCACCAGGGCGCCCTTTTAGGCCATTTTACACGCACAGGCCGACAGATTTCGATCCGGGTGTAAATGAAAAGGTGCCCCACAACGAAAAGGCACTGAAACCTTTTAAGTGCCTGGTCCGAGCAGCGCTTCTCAAATTCTAACGTGCACAAGGATACAGCAAGCCTTGGCCCCGATGAGCGGCCTCGGCATCGCCTGGACGCTGGGAGGAAACGCTGGAGCCCAACCCCCTCCCCCCCACCAGCCCTGATATTTTCAGAATCTGCATCTTAACGGGCTTCCAGAAGAGTCATGCGGACAGGAGTCAGCGCTCCTGTGCTAGATCAGGGGCAAGGGCCTGAGTTCTAGACCCAGCTGTTCTGTTTCCCGGGTGCCTAGGAATGGCCGTGTTTGCCCCTCTAGTTTCTTTACTGATAACGTGATGGGAGGGAGGGGACTGCATGAGACCAGGGACGGCAAATAAGCTGCATTTCTCCTTCCAACTGATCGACTGGTTGTAGCCACCAAGCCCGATCTGTTAAGGAGGCTACATCTGGGCTCAGACCGCACGCGCCAGGACGCAGCCGCAGTGTCTGCCATGGCGCTGCTGGGGACAGAGGCGGCCCACACGTCTCGTACTCGCCGTTCATGTCGGGACGTTTCCTAAGGCCATTTGTTCACTAAGTATGCGTGTGCGCCGAGTGCTGTGCTAGAAGTGGAGACAGAGTGAAAGTGAGACATCATCCTTCCCCTCGAGGACCCATTCAGTGTGAGAGAGACCAAAACATAAGCAGACAATTACAATATGTTGCCATGACCACCACGAAAGAGATAACCACAGGGTGTTATAGCAGCAAAGGGAAGGGAATCCAATCCAGTCTCTCTGGGATCCAGAAGGACTTCCAGGAAGAAGCAATAACTAAGCCGAAAGCTGAAGAGTGACTTTGAATGACCCACGAGAAGCTGGAAGGGGTTTCTAGACAGAGGGAACAGCATATGCAAAGGCTCGGAGGTAGGAAAGAGTATGGCAAGAACATCCAGGAGAACTGTCCCTTGTGAGTAGAATGCTACATGGAGGTGGTAAGAGAAGTGTGAAGAGGCAGTACCAGGCCAGACTAGCAGTTCAAACCCTTACACTTACCATACCGATGGGTGGCCTGATGAGTTTTGCAGTTGGAAAAATTATTCGGATACTGGTGGACAATGGATTGAACAGGAAGGGAGACAGGAGGGGGTCAATGCCCCTCAGAGTGTGGCTTGCAGCCAGGGTCCATGAACCAGTTGTTACTGGTTGTTGAGAGAAGAAGTTTGCACCAGAAAGTACGTCAACGATGTCACTAAGTACACTGTTTAGCCGATGTTTATATTAGCACGATTTTCCAGAGGTCTGCACTCCGGCCCAGCAAACACCTGGGCCGTAATCACTATGAGCTGCACTGAGTCAGGTGGCCGTGGCAGGCCAGGTGAGAGGCTGGCTCGGCCCAGGGAGGTAGCCGTGGAGATGGGGAGAAGTAGACTGACCTGAGAGAGATTTACAAGCGAAACTGACAGGACTGGATTGATTGGATCAGGACATAAAGGAAGAAGGATGATGCCCAGCGACGGACCGAACACCTCACCGAGATCACTCTGTGACCTGGTGACACTGCTTAGCGACCGGTCGGTGCCCCTAAGCTTTAAAGCACTACTAAAGGCCAGAAATAAGGCCACCCTCCACCAGCTCTCGGAGGTGGGGGAGGACACTGATGAGTCCCCCATGCACACCCCTGAAAGCAGGCTGGACATGGCTAAAGGCTGCCTATGTCCACCAGCTGGTGATGGGGCCCGGCTGACCGTCCCCCACAGCTCCCAGCCCCGGATCAGCGAGCCTTAAGGGGAGAAGGGGGTCAGGCCTCTGTGATCTGCACAGTGAGATCTTCCCCCCTAGAAAGAGCTCATCCTCAAGAAGCCAGGGCCGAGGTCATCCCTGGGACAGAAAGAGGTCCCCCGTGCTACCCCCACCCGGGGGGGGGGGGCCGCAGCCTTCCGTACCGACGACCATGATGTTGAAGTCGAACCCGGTCTTCATGGTCTTCTTCCGCATCTGTTCGATGATGGTGTCGATGCCAATGTAGCCCAGCAGGTTGGTGTTGATGCTGACGGGCTTCATGGGCACGGCCGGCTTAGGCCTGGGCTCGGGCACCAGCTCCGACATGGCTGCGTCCGTCCTGGTCTCTGGGAGCCCTGCCAAGGCGGGAGGGTGGGCTGCTGAGGCCACGGAAGCCGCAGTGCTGCTCACCGACACAGGGTCATACAGGGCGGGGACGGCGAGGGGCCTTAGATGTCATCCGCTGCGGGTCCCTCATTTCACAGGCAGGGAAACTGAGGCCCGGAGGAAAGGACTGGCTTAAGAGCACAGAGCCAGTCAGGTGCGAAGTCTGGACCAGACCCGTCCTCCAGCTGCTGGGGCCGCCTCCAATGCACTCGGGGCTCCAAAGCACCACAGCTGGGTGTCTGACCCAGGGCTGTGTCCTCTTGGCACCACTGACCATTTTGGGGGAATAATTATTGTGGGCAGCTGTCCTGCGCCTTGCGGGATGTTCAGTGGCCTCCCTGCCTCTACTAGATGGAAGAGCCCCCCAGTAGTGACAAGCAGAGGACATTGTGCCGGATGTCCCCTGGGGGCAGGTGGCCCAAGTGGAGAACCCCTAGTCTAAGCGATGTCTGGGGTTACTCCAACCTGCGTCCTGCCCCCACCACCCCCATATAAAGGGCCAAAACCAGTTAGGACGCTGGACCTAACTTCAATGGACATCTGCCACTGACCGCAGCTGCCTCCTTTAGAGGCAAACAGGGCCAGCCCTCTGCAGGGTGAGCGTCAGTCCGTCTCCCAGCCTCCGTGCCCCTCTGTCCCACAGGCACCGCTGCAAACCAGGGTGTCTGCGCCCTGAGGAGCCCCAGGCACCCTCCTCCCTAGAGCTTTGAATCTGTGGGAAGAATAGGTCTCCCCTTTTGACCAGCGGGGAGAGGATGAGACCCCGGGAGGGGCAGTCACTTGTGTTCTGGGGATGGTGGGTGGCAGAGGAGAGGGGTGGCAGAGGAGAGGGGAGGCTGAGGAACAGCCCTGCTCCAGTGGGGAAAGGCGCCCGTCCCGCTGGGCTGGCAGGTCCTGGGCATCTCCACACACAAGAGAAGCCTGTGCGTTTCCCCCTCGGGCCACTGTCCACCAGGCTAGGTTTCAGGACAGCAGCCGCGTTTCCCCATCCAGAAAACGGGGCGTGTGTGGTGAGGCGGGAAGAGCGTGGCTCGGCTACTCGCCAGCTCTGTGGGCTTGGGCGAGGCACCTGCCCCCAGGAGCCCACTTCCTCGTGTGTAAACTGCTTAGGATCATGGTGAAGGCTGTGGTGAGCATTACATGAGGTATGAGGCCTAGAAGCACCCACACGGCGCCTCCCAGTTCCAGCCCCTCTGGCCCCTCCCACTTTCAAGTTCACTGGCTTGTCAGAGGGGGAGATGAAGGGGTGCGTGTGAAAGCACGTGTCCAAGGGAGGTATCCAGGTGCTAATTACACTGCGCAGCTACTGGACGCCACACTCGCTCCAGCACCCCTTCCAGTCTGCCATTCCAGATCCTATGGCTCCGCCCTGCAGCCTCAGGCTTACAGGGGGGCTGATGGAACAGCCGGTGGGCAAGAGGGCGAGAGGATGAGAGCTCTTCCATCCTCTACCCCCAAACCCAGCCAGGGGTCTGCTCTCATACCCCACCACCTGGTCCTTCCCTGGGTCTTGGCAAGACTCTCTCCCAATGGGAAAATGTTCTTTCCTTGTCACTCTGCGACACAGCCAACTCTGACAAAGCTTCGGGTCCTCCCCAGGGCCTGGCTGGGCTCCCTCCTGCTTCCCAGGAAGCTGGTGCTAGCCAGGCGCTGGCAGCGAGAGATTGGCTCAGCCCCGCAGCAGCTGACTCTCAGGCCGGGCCTGCTCCCCAGTCTCCACACGTGGCTCGCAGTCAGCACCCCTGCACTGGGGCCAAGGCCCCATTTTTCCTGCCCAGCTGCTCACATGCTGGCCCTTTCCATTTCCCTGGTGCCCATTTGGTCTCCACAACCTGTGCTGGGAGATCTGGGGGAACAACCCATTTCACACCCCTGGAAAGTGAGTCTGGTACTTATTTATGGGAGTTTTTCTAAGTGTTCTTATAAAGTGGGTGTCCTCACCACGGCCTGCTCAGCCCTGGCCCGTCAACGCGCCTTCCTAAAAGGGCATTATTCCCCAAAGACGGACCCTGATTCCCAGGCAACTCCTCGGGGCTACGGCAGGCGCGGCAGGTCCAGCGCGTGAGCAGACATCCCCGTCCTCCTCCCAGCAAGCACCTGTCCACACCTACTGTGTCCCTGTGAAGAGCACCTGCTGGCAAGTCCCCCCAACACGTGCCAATGACACATTAGTTACATGCTAACACCCTCCAGCCATGAGTGCGGAGAAGGCTGGGCGGTCACTGTGTCACAGCCGCTGCTGAAGGACCCTGCCCTCTGCAGCCGCGGGCGAATTCCTGCTCTCCTTTCACCATCGGCTCAAGGGCTACCCCTCGGGAGCGCCTCCGCTTTCCCGCGGGTACAGACGCCCTTCTTCTGCGCAGCCTCAGCCATCTCGGTACCCATCTCATTCACTCATCCATGCACCACGGGTTCCATCCACCCCTCCAGGCCCTCTCACATGTGGTCAGATGGGAGCCTCCTCCAGCCGAACCCTAGACTAAAAACCAAGGACACTTTGGGTCCCCAGACAAGGTCATTGCCCCCGGGGGTCCTCTCTCTGCTGAGAGTCCCTGACAAGTACACAAAGACCTCCAGGACCGATCGCTGTGCCCCAATGTCCCTAGATAACACAGGCACTCAGCAATGAATGAATGAATGAATGAATGAAGAATGAATGAATGAATGCCTCACTGCGAGTCAGCTGTCACTTTTCTCCTCCCTCAGAAGCTCCTCTAGCAGAGCAGCTGACACCCAGCCAGCAGCCAGCTCTGTGTGTGGGTCACCGGCAAGGGGGTACCGGGTAGACTCTGTTAAAGACCTGCTTCCTCCCCCACAACAAGGGTCACAGGGTCACAGCAGGACACAGTTCAAGCAGGCCACCCTGCCTCCATGGTCCTTGGCGCCCCTCCTAGGCTCCCAGCTCTCCCAGGGCCCCGGGAGGAGGAGAATCTGTGCGCAGCACCGGCACCCCCTGCCAGGAGCCACCTGCCCCATCAGCGCTCCCGGCTCCCGGGAGAGGCAGCGGCACTGTCCACCTGACTCAGTTCTGAGTCCCCCACAGAAACGGCACCTCCGGCACCTGCCCAGCCAGGACCTGGTGCTTTCTGTCACAGGCAAATGAGTGGCTTTGTCTTTGTCTGGCACGGGGACCCCACCCCTCAATTGGGAAGGTGGCAGCAGGGGGAGGAGACCTTCCGGAAGAGCACCTGCCTCCTGCGCTCAGTGGGGTGGGGGTGGGGAGGCCCTTCCTTCCTTCCTGAGCTTCAGACCGTCCCCAGACCCCACCCCACCGGCACCCGCACCCTCAGAGGCAAATTCGGTCCACCCCATCTCCAGCCCCCGCTCTCGGAAAAAGAATCACAAAAGCTATCTTAGTCCTGGCCTATTGGCAGGAGCCACGGGCCCTGGGACACCCCTTCCCCCACCCCGCTCTCCGGAGGCCAGCGAGTTCCCTGGGAGACCACCAGCTGGTGCCCGGCGGGTGTGGGGGAAGGGGCCGCCTGCGTGTGAGCGCACAGGTCTGCATCGGGTGTAGGTGGCCTGATACCTGTGCGTGGCGGGCATGTGTGTGCGTGTCTGGGTGTGCGCCAGTGCGGGGCGTACTGTGCGCATCTGGGTCCCGACTTGCGTGTCGGAGGGTCTCGGTGCCGCCCGCATTCCCGTGGGTGGATTCTCCGGGAATGTGTATCTTGGGGTGTGTGCACCGTGTGTGCGTGTGCCTGTGCATATGTCACCGCGCGTGGGCGCCTGGCGCAGCCCCCCTCCCCCTGGTAGCACCTCCAGCCGGGCTTCTGGGGGCCCTCACCTCTTCCCGGCGGGCGCCGGTGGCCCGGCCAGAGGCCCTACCTTTGGACATGAATCCTCCTTTGTCTCCGTTCCTCCCGGGAGATGCTCAGGGCGCGGGCTGCCAAGGCTGAGCGGGCGGGGGCTTCCTTCCTGTGCTGAGCGGTCACTGCAGCCGGGCCTCGCCCCTTCGGGCGCTC